AAACAACTGTTTCTGCATTCATTTCCTATTTCATTCTGAAGAAGATCGATTTCATCGCTCGAAACGTCATTAAATTAGCTAATCAACAAGAGAATTATCAGGTTAAAGCATACGAAGAGAAGAGAAAATATTATACACAATCACAATAATTGGAATCAATCAACCCTTCTAAAGGGTTGATGAAAGTGCAACGTATAGCAAACCCTTTAAGGATTTATGAAATTTATAATCCCTTTCATAAACCCTTCAGGGCCAGTTTTTGCAACTCATAAACCCTGTATTCATCCCTTTTTTTAGGGTTTTTGAAAGGGTTTATAACACCTTAATAAACCCTTTAAAAGGGTTTGTGACACGTTGCACTTTCATAAACCCTTTTTTCGTTTTTTATTCTACGGATATTTTTTACAGTGTATCAGAATTTTATATTATGATATTAGGTGAAGAATGATAAAATATTAGTTTTACTATCAGATTATATAGAGTTTAAATTTCTTCAAGCTTTTTATAAAGAATTAAAATATCTTCGCCACAACTCTTGCATTGTTTTAACTGCTTTTACTACATGATTATAAACGATCTTAATTCATTCTGAACATTATTCGATAGAAATCATAGCAAGACAATTATATGAGCTTTTGAAACAAATGTTCATTTGAAATGCTGAGGCGTATAATACAGCTACGTGATCTACACAATCAATGCTTCTAAGTGATTTAGATGAAAACTACTTACCGTTACTTCTACAACTAATTTCAAGCTGAGCATGACAAATTACGCTTTTCCAATCCGTTTATAATGGAAAACATTTTTACATGGATTATGCAAGGTTGTCAACAACAAAAAATGTGCTTCTTTACAATGTTTAGTATAGTGAACATACAAGTAGTAGATCGTCAGCATCTTTTTTTAATCTTGAATGTTTGTTTTTTAGCAAAAGTGATAGCAAATCTTTACTTTAGTGTTTCAGGTACTTAGTGAAGATTTCTAATTGCTCGTTCACTGATAATTTTTCCAAAATTCCGAAATATATAGCATATATAAGATAGAAATCAAAATTAATCTTAAATGAATCAAAGAAGAACTTATCATTTATACGTTTTTAGACTTTTAAATTGTATAAATTATATTTTATAATAAGATGAACGACAAAACGTTTATCCTTCATATATTAATGTGGTATATATTTATATTTCTAGTATTATATTGATAATTAATTATATGAAGATCAACAGAAACAAAAGAAAAATCCATGACATCTTAAAGAGAAAAATATGTTTCCATGCAAAAACGAATGTAACGTTTGCGTTTACTTATTATTGTAACTATTGCTGTTCTTGTTCATTATTATATCAATCCAATGATTACAAAGTTTTGAAATAATAATAAGTTTTTGGTTGAAATAATTTTCAAAATATTTGTCAGTAGAATATTTTTAATGAAAAAGAAAGCTATAATAATCATAATCTCGAGCAAAATAATTCAAATATATATATATATATACAGTGGTGTGAAAAATTATAGACTCACCCTACTCCTGTGCCCTCTGTCGTTTTTTTTTCTCTATTAATGTTGATTTATCATCGCAAATTCAACGCCAATATATAGATTCAGATGTGCTTTTACAACATTCATTGAGAAAAAGTTCATATATGACGTAGTTTCACAGAAAAAAATTTTCAAAAAAAAAATCAATGTTTTTGCTTGTGAAAAAATATAGACTCACTGGAANCGAGCAAAATAATTCAAATATATATATATATATATATATATACAAAGCTCGTATTCAAAAGATTAAGCAAAGAATTCCATGATAATGAATAAAACCGACGTGCTTTTCTTTTCTTTATCTTATAGACTATGATTACAACTCACTTGAATACTTTACGACAGTTCCTGCTTAGTCTTAACATGCCACGTTTTACAGCTCATCTATTAATTGCATTGATTGCTCATGCGTGATGTGTTGTCGTTTATCTACTTTCTCTTTTAATTCTCTCTCTCGCTCTCATTCTTTCGTTTCTCATATAAGGCAATGAATAATATAGAATGAAGTTAGTTTGAGATGATTGAGTTCAAAGGTCGTTACGGACGTATCTCCACTCGCATTGGATTAGCTCTGACCGGAATCATAATAATGATTGTATTAGGCTTAATTCCTTTGTATATTCGAAAACATAGAGCCAATAGTTCACAAAATGGTATTGCAGGTTCGTTCATTTCTTTAATTTTTATTCATGACCATTGTTTAAAAGGTATCAATGAAGTCTATGCTATGAATAATCTATAAATTATCAATGTAATACAACACATAATTTTATGAGAACAAATAGATATAAAACTACTCAGTAAAACAATTATAAAAATAGCTAATATGTTTTAGTGTCTTGCCATTTTCTCACTATTATATAGCCTTTATTAATTTAATTTTCGATTCAATCGAAGTTTTTCAGTAGAGAAGCCGATTTGAGTAATGACATAAAATAAAAACATTTTTGATGCAGAGATAATTATATGATCGTCTATATTATTAATTGGCAAGAGATTTGAAAAATATATTAAAATGCGCTATGTTATTAAGTTTTATATACGCAACAACCTTTTTTTTTTGATTAACAGCATATCCAGCTGTATTGTATATTTGGTCTGGACAAGATATTTCCGTATCAAATGCTGCTGATTTTGTTGCTGTAATCGACTTTAATGAAAGTTCTTCTACTTACGGGCAAATTCTCAAAACAGTACCTCTTAGTTCCAATGCTTCTTATAAAATTAAACAATCAGGAAATGAACCACATCATTCTGCTATTTCGTCCGATGGGACGTATTATATTTCTGGTGGTTTACTCAGTTTTCTTTCGCAGCAAAAACAAATATTTATCTGGCGTGTTCCACAAAATGTTCAGGATGGACCACAATTTTTATACGCATTGGACGTACCATATGGATGCCCGGACGAACTTTTAGCAATCGGTGGCGCAAAATTTCTTTTGAGTATGATGTGTAATAATAATGGAGATAGTCCTGGTAATGTGTTATTGATTGATGCTGCGACTGCTACTGTAACATCATATCTCAATAATGCTTCGACTTTCGTTAATTTTAATCCTCATGGATTTGCTCGTCTGAATGATTCATCTCTATTCTTAGCAGATTACATTCGACCTGTTACATTATTTGGTAATGATTCTTCGAAGATATTATTTCGTAATACGGTTCGATACTTCTCAGCAGATGGAAGTTTAGAACGTACATTTCAATTTAATTTCTCTAATGAATCCAGAGAAACCAGTGGAGTTGGACAAGGCATTGGTTTTATGGATGTTAAAAGTATTCCAAACGATTCACAAAAACGTGCATATTCATGCGGTACCAATGATAATATATTATACTTGATTGGACCAGAAATAGCTGAAGCTCAGCCGGTTTTCGACATTTCCGAAGTTAATAATTATGTAAAACGAATCAGTGCAGGGCTGATTTCAGTTTCTTCTGACGGTACACGACTGTTAATGACATTTCAAATGCGATTTATTATTTTATTTAATATAACACAGCCTAATTATCCAGTAATTCTTGATGTATTTGATTTTTGCTATGATGAAACACTTGATAGTGTACCAATTTTAAATTCTGATACAAATGAAACAAGTACTTTTCGTGAATATTGTGCCAATAATAATAATATAACAGGTTCTCATGTGCTTTTACACCCAAATGGAGAAAATCGATTTATTGTGATGAATTATTTTCTCAAAGCTGGTCTTGCTCAATTTGCTGGTACACGATCAGTACATGTATTTAAACTTAATGAACAATTAACAAATTTTACCTATGAACCTCGATTCAATCCAAACTTTCAATTTAATTATACATCACAACAACAGTACTTAACGTTTCATTCACTCAAAGCATATCCACATCATGTTCAATATTTACAATTGTAAAACGAATGATTTCATTCGTTCTATACATACAATTACTTTTGAAAAAAAGTTTTTTTTTGTCAATATTTTTGGTGTTGGTTAAGCGTGTAGTGATAGTGAATACGGTTCAATACGTGAATCTACTGTTGATTCACCATTACCAAGACTCATAGCCGTAGCCAGAAATTGGCGTGGATCATTGATTAAAATGAGATTCTTTAAAACCTGTGTACTGGTTCTCACATTCTGAGTGTGACTGTATTTTGATTAAAAAGAGGGCAATACAGTATGATTGAAACGTTTCCGATCTGAGAAGAATGACAACTAAACACAGGAAATGAAAATTGGAAAAGCACAAGATAAGGTAGTGATATTCACAGATATTTATCGATGAAGAATGAATATATTGGAATCGGATAGTGCCAAAGACAAAATATGACAGCGCTTACCACGCTGCAGTCGAGGGTGAGTCAAGAAAACCATGGCGTGTTTCAGTCTCTCTCAAGAGTCTCATCAGATGGTTTAGCCTTTTCGTATCTATTTGAATGATCGTACAATCACAAATAAGATGCTTAATATATATTCAATCAAACGATTTGGAGACAATTCCATCTAATTCCCGAAATTCCGTTTATCTATTCCGACTCAATTTCGGAATTCAGGGCACCTGCACTGATATTCATACCCACACCCTGCAATTCCTGTACGGAATTCCGGGAATTAGGTCGAACAGGAATTGAACGGAATTACACGTAATTCCGTGTAATTCCTAAGAGTTTCCAGTGATTCCGCTTTCATCTGGTTCCGGAATCGGGCAATGTTCAGGTTTGGCCTAGTTCCGTAATTGACGGAACTGGTTCCGGAATGTTCAACATTGCGGAATAGGACGACTGCCCAGGGTGTGTGTAGGTTAATTTCCTGTAAACTGACACCCACGCCCAAGATTCGAAAGATAATTATTATCCGTTTTTTAATGTTGATTTTCTTTTCCAAAGGATTTATTTTACCGTTACTTAACCCTACACATTGAAGCCTTGCCATCAAATCAATTCAATTACAAATGCAGTGAAAATAATTTTTCTCAAGAGAAAAATGCATTAAAATAAAAGCGTCGATATATTAAAACGAATAGCAATATATTTAGAAATGCTGATCGTCAAATGACTCTTATAATCCCGATCGGTATTATAGAGATCTAGAAAAATTCTTCACAAGAATTCGTATATATCTTTGCTGTGTTTTTGCTCATTTGTTTAGCAGAATTTCGTTTTCCATTCTGTTTGACTCAGAATGAAATAGCGTCGTAAATTCTTCTTTTTTTACTTTTAAGAAATTATCATTCAAACTTGTTTAATTATCATTAAGTTAAACAAACACTTATACTAATAATAAATACAATAAAATAATGGAGAATAATTTTGATAAAGAAAATTGAGATGCCTAGATGATAGATTTATTCTATTGTATATCGAACTATTTTACGAGTAGAGATTCATCGGTCTATTTAGGTTCATATCCGACGTTAACCTAAAAAGACAACCGAATATTCTTGTTAGTGGAAAAGATAAGTCTAACTTACAAAATTCTATTTTGTTCTTATTTTTATTATATCGTCAATTAAGTTGGTCTGCTTTTTAATTTTTTAAAAAATTTTTCACCTCTTTTGCTATTTCCTGAATTTCATTCAATAGATCCAAATGATGTCGAACGAACCGCATGAATTCGTAAAAATGTTCTTTGTGCATCGTCATTTGCCCTTGTGCATGATGTTGAAATTTCCTTACTTCTAAAATAAAGAATATCTTTTAGTGTGTCTGTCTATTATCAGCAATCTTTAGTTTCTCATATGAATAATTGAAAGTTAAACCCATACCTGCCACTTTCATAAAAAACAAGTACTTTTTACAGAATTAGCCCATACGGCCATGTGTTACAAGTTCAAAATCAATTCGTTCTTGGGAAGAAACACCTTCGTGTGGATATAATTCTTCTAGCGATAGAGACTGATATTCGTCACTTGAGAAAGACTATTCGATATTAACTGAATATTAAGCACCATGCAAATAATTCAAAACTAAGATTATAATGATTTACATGAAGAATTATTAGATGAAGCAACCTAAAAACTTCTGATTTTAAATATTTTCCTATGAGAATTGCTTAAATAGCATGGGAAAATATTCTCCTATGTGTTTATCATTGGATAAATGCATTCTACTTTTATTGACAACAGCATCGACTTTGCTCACTTCACTTGAAGTTGTTGCCAGTTTTTCAAGATCAACTAAAATGAAAAACACGAATCTTTTTTTAAATTGATATTTATTGCGTAAGTTTTGCAAAATACTTTTTCTTTTTTTTTCGACAATCAAAACTAAATTCTTTTCTCAAAATTTGTATTAAAGCCATAATACTCTGTTTTAGTTTACGGTGACCATTCTTATTTGTAAATCTTCACAAATAAAGACAGCAAAATTTTTCATTAAATCTTGTTTTAAGATATTCAAAAAAATTAATTGGTATTCATAAATATATTTGTTCTATCATAAACAAAGGAGTTGTAATGAAAGAGTGCATATCATCCTTACTTGGCATCTGTTGCTGAACTTATAGGCATCGTATAGATAAAGAGAGAGAGAGAGAGAGAGAACTAAAAAAGGTGTTAATCAAAAAGAGAGTCAAGCTTGTTTACTCACCACAATAAATACTTACATAAGAAATAATCTGGACAATTGTATAACTTAAAACATGAATAGGAGTTAGATCACGAATATAGAAAGTTGCTAAAGTTTTCTGTACATCAACATTCATTTCTTTCTTCAATCAGACGGAAGAAAAAAGGTCGATTTGGTACGGTTCATGATTTATGTAAGCGCAGTGAGGTTTGCCCATAGATGCTACATTTATTATGTGAAAATAAGTATCTATTAGAGTTTCATATAGAAAAAAAATATTGTTAGGTCTTTATGTAGGCTTTTCTTTTGTTGATGCAAAGCAAAGTTGTTCAACTAGCATAATTTTTATTGCTGAAAGAAAAAGCTGTATACAACTAAAATTGAGAAATCTTTTCAAGGCTAAAAACAATTACCATCGGTGTGAATAAGTTTCGTAGATCATCACAAAACATGCGTATAAACTAAAAAAAAGCCACATTTTTACTGTGAAACATAATAGCAATTCAAATCGACACGAGATGAAAATGATTGAGATATTAATGCAGAAAGCAAAAACTAATATCCATATCCTAAATATCATTTTTGGTATCCAACTTTAAATGTTTCATCGGTATGTATCGGTACACTAATATGTGAATATAGACTATAATCATTTTATTCTCCGCCAAATCAGTTCTAGGCATTGCAATACTCACAAGATCATAAACAAGTCACACTCGAAGTTGCTAAATAACTGAAAAATGAATATTTATTCCAACCATTAAAAAAAGTCATTCAACAAAACAAACATTGAAATTTAGTGGTAGTGTGCTCATAGAGTTGGAGAATGCGATAAAAACTGACCTGTGGTTATATACGTAGATCTGAGAGTCATTCAATTAAAATTCGATTTTTCGAGAATAACGCTGTTGCTTAATAAAACTTGCCGGAACGTTCGTTGAAGCCTATGAGTGAGAATCTACAGGTTATAGTTATTGACATGTAACACATTTTTTAATTTCTTAAACAAATCCATATTTTCTTATCTTTTGAGGATTAATCAGTGTTGCAGCCGATGCCAGTCAGACCCGCCTGAGTTGCATATATCTCTGAATTTGTGGGGGACGGGGGTGTCGGAGTGAGCTTGCTCTATCTTTTTACACCCACACCAATTTTGTTTGATAAGTAAATATATCAGTATTTTTGCCCTGACTCTACGCTGATATTTCTTTTTTTATTTAGATTAAATTGTCCTAGTCAAAGTATATGGTCCTACATGCATCACAATCGTGCTATATATGAAAATGATATCGACATGATCTATGTCATTCAAAGTCATTTTGCTCCAGTTCATTTTCGTAAATACGCATATATTAATTTTTTAAATAATTATATAAATTATATTTAGATACATGGCTAGAAAATTTTTGTAAATGCCTGGATCATCCAGTTGTTTACGGGACCATAGAACTTTCCCCTTGTTTTCTCATCATCTTAACTTAGAGATAGAATTAGACATAAGGCGGTGTCTGGAACACCCCAAGATTAAAGCTGTTGGCGGAATCGGACTGGATTTTCAAAGGTTAATATCTTTTTTTATTATTTTTGATGATTTATTTAATGCATAAAATCTTTATTATTAGTGAAAATCTACCAGATGATGATATACAAAGCAAAGCCTTCATTCTTCAGATCCAGCCAGCACGAGGAAAATATTACCTATTGTAATATATTTTCGAAAAAGTTTCATAGAAGTTTTGAATATTTAATATAAGGTATTGTACTTATTACCTTTTACTTCCCAATACATTCTGATATGATTCATATATAATTTCATCTTTATTCAAATTGTTTTAGGAATTGAACCATGATTGTCTGAGATGTGCTGGCGAAATTTTTCCTACCACTTGGAAGAGTTGAATATTTTGAATTCAAACTTTAGTCATGTATATCTGGGATGCTCACAAAACGCAATTATTTCTTCAAATATGAAGAACATTATTAGAAATTGTAATGTTGAAGCTCTTATGTCCGAAAGCGTTGCTCCATATTTCACAATTGAAGATATGAGTATCGATTTAAATTTATTCTACAAATTTTTCAATTTGCCAATTGAAGCTGTTATAAAACAGCTCGTCAATCATATGGTATCTTTTTTCAAGCTCAATTAAATATCATATCGATTCTTCCTTATCCTGATACTTTAATCGAAGAACTATATTATGAGCAAATATGAGATTGTATTCCAATTGCATCGTTCATTTATTGCATATTGTTTTCTCAATATCAAGGATGTCTTTTTTTTTTGACATATGTTGTATATCATTCACATTCTTTTCTGAATGATATTTTAAACTTTTCTATCAT